CCACTCACGAAGCTGCTGGGGCGTGAGAGACGTGCGTGGGCGACGCTGGAGCTGCATCCGGTCGCCGCTAGTAGAAGCAGGAGCAGGAGTAGCAGCAGTAAGGCAGGCAGCCAAGCAAGCTGTAGACAGCGCGCTAGTAAGGCAGGGGCTCACCAGTGGTGGGAAAAGCAGGCTCGACGACTCGGCGACTCGGCGACTTGGCGGCACTGCAGCAACTGCGGCTCGACGGCTCGGGCGACCCGGGCGGCTCGGCTGCTCGGGCGACTCGGGCGGCTTGGCGGCTCGGGTGGCTCGTGCGGCTCGGGCGGCTCGGGCGGCTCGGGCGGCTCGGGCGGCTCGGCTGCTCTGCGGCTCGGCTGCTGGGGTGCTCAGCGGCTCGGCTACGGCTCGGCTGCTGGGCTGCACGGCGGCTCGGTGGGGGGGGCGGCTCGGCAATGCAGCAGGCGACGGGCCGGGGCAGCTGCGAGGGGCCGGGACGGGCGGTGCACGGGCGGCGTGGGGCCGAGACGGGCGGCGCACGGGCGGAGTGGGGGCCGGGACGACGGCGCGGGGCCGGGACGGGCAGTGCACGTGCGGCGTGGGGCCGGGACGGCGGCGCGCTGCCGGAATGGGCGGCGCACGAGCGGTGTGGGGCCGGGACGGGCGGCGCACGGGCGGAGTGGGGGCCGGGACGACGGCGCGGGGCCGGGACGGGCGGCGCACGGGCAGCGTGGGGCCGGGACGGGCGGCTCACGGGCGTCGACGGGCTGGAGCAGCGACGCGCGGTTGGGACGGGCGGCGCGCGGGCGGCTAAGGGCCGGGACGGGCGGCGCGCGGGCGGCTAGGGGCCAGGACGGGCGGCTAAGGGCCGGGACGGGCGGCGCGCGGGCGTCTAAGGGCCGGGACGGGCGGCGCACGTACGGTTAGGGGTCGGGACGGGCGGCGCGCGGGCGGCTAGTGGCCGGGACTGGCGGCGCGCCAGAAAAGAACGAGGCCGCGCGCCCCGAGGCGCGCACCAAAGTGCAAATCGCCGCGCGCCATGCGTCGCACGCCACGGGGCGTGCGACAGAGCATGTAGCAGCGGAAGCAGTAGTACCCACAGGCCGAGAGCGTAACCGCTCTGAAACCATGTGAAAGAAACTAGAACGAGAATGAATCAACTATGAATGAAGTGAGTACATATAGGAAACCCTGATTGGGTTGTACCCCCTATGGGATACCCCACTATAGCCTACACAAATATATAAGCTATAATGTTCTGACAATAAATGACGAAACGGTGACATGTTGCGTACTGGCCTATCCTTGCACAGTTTCAGGCCATCAAACGCACAAACAAGCATCACGTGCTGCGTAGTTGTGCGAATGAACTCAAACCAGTTCCTGTGGCTAGGGAAATGGATAAACTAGGGAACTGTATGAAGAAATATGGCTAAAAAAAACATATAAGCGACAAAACGGTGACATGTTGCGTACTGGCCTATCCTTGCACAGTTTCAGGCCATCAAACACACAAACTATGAAAATTAGGAGTAGTAAAGTTTAGAATGAAGAAAAGAGGGGGTTCACTAGCAAGCAGTTGAGTACATATAGGAAACCCTAAGTTGGGCTGTACTCACTATTGAGTACCCCACTGCAGGCTACACAAACATAACATTCTGACACACCCCCATAGCCAAAGTGGGGGGTAATCAGCACAGCAAGCAAAGCAGAACAAGCTCAAGGTGGATCACAATGTCACCACACATTCTGAGCACAAGTACAAGAAGCAACATTTTAAAGTTCACAATTATGAGCAAAGCTAGTGGTAGTCACAACGGGCAAGTGAGGAGGAGGAGGGACTGTGAGAGGAGAGGAGATAGGAGGCGACGGCTGAAGCTGTAGACACACGGGCAACAGGAGTCACACTGTCACAGCGGCTACTGGAACAACTCTCCGTACTACTGGAGTAACTGGCTCCGCGGCTAAAACTAGCGGCAGACGAGCAACGGACCCACGGGCGACTGGCAGAGCTGGCTGCAACTGGGCTACCGGAGCAACTCCCCGGACTACAGGTGGTGCTGGCGACACGACGGCAACCTCCGTTCAACCTCCCCAAACAGTCCCACCCCCCCTGACACACACCCCCTGCTTCACCCCTAGCTCCACTCCCCCTTCACCCACCTTAGTACCACTCCGACGCCTCCAACAGGTCCACCCCCCTCAGCGGCAGCTGCAGCACTGGGAGACAAAGGAGGAGGAGGAGCAGGGGACAGCACACAGAAGCTGCACCCCCATACCCCCCACCCCCAAACCCTAATTCAGGAGAACGGACAGCAGCAGGGGTGGGGCGCCATCAGAGGCACGGGGGACAGTGGGCAGCGCAGGGGCAGCGAAGAACGGGCCGCCCACGGGCCTGGCACAGCCGCCCGAACCGCGCGGAGGCGGCCCAAGCCGCGCGCGGGCCTGGCGCAGCCCGTACGGGCCGCGCGCGGGCCTGGCACGCCCGTACGGGCCGCGCGCAGGCTGTATCGGCCACGCGCAGGCCACGACGGGCGACGGGGGGCGACGCGCGGGTCCCCGTCGCCCGTCGCAGCGCCTCCCGGGAGCAACGCGCCCAGTGACGGGGCAGAAACCCGCCGCGCGCCTCGGGGCGCATGGCAGGAAGAAAACCGCCGCGCGCCTCGGGGCGCACGGCAGGCAGAAAACCGCCGCACGCTCGGAGCGTGCAGCGGGATGAAAATTCCGTTGCACGCCACGGGGCGTGCAACACAGAGAGTAGCAGTAGCAGCGGAAGCAGTGAGGTGGTGAGCCCACCCACACGATCGACCCAAGGGGATCGACCTGCTTTGGTAGCATGTGAAAATTAGGAGTAGTAAAGTTTAGAATGAAGAAAAGAGGGGGTTCACTAGCAAGCACTTGAGTACATATAGGAAACCCTAAGTTGGGCTGTACTCACTATTGAGTACCCCACTTCAGGCTAGACAAACATAACATTCTGACACAAACAAGCGTCACGTGCTGCGTAGTTGTGCGAATGAACTCAAACCAGTTCTTGTGGCTAGGAAAATGGATAAACTAGGGAACTATGTGAAGAAATAGGGCTAAAAAAAACATACAGGCGACGAAACGGTGACATGTTGCGTACTGGCCTATCCTTGCACACTTTCAGGCCATCAAACGCACAAACAAGCGTCACGTGCTGCGTAGTTGTGCGAATGAACTCAAACCAGTTCTTGTGGCTAGGGAAATGGATAAACTAGGGAACTGTGTGAAGAAATAGGGCTAAAAAAAACATATAGGTGACGAAACGGTGACATGTTGCGTACTGGCCTATCCTTGCACACTTTCAGGCCATCAAACGCACAAACAAGCGTCACGTGCTGCGTAGTTGTGCGAATGAACTTAAAACAGTTCCTGTGGCTAGGGAAATGGATAAAATAGAGAAGCGTGTGAAGAAAAATACTAAAAAAAACATATAGGCGACGAAACGGTGACATGTTGCGTACTGGCCTATCCTTGCACAGTTTCAGGCCATCAAACGCACAAACAAGCGTCACGTGCTGTGTAGTTCTGCGAATGAACTCAAACCAGTTCCTATGGCTAGGGAAATGGATAAACTAAGGAAATGTGTGAAGAAATAGTGCTAAAAATAACATATAGACGATTAAACGGTGACATGTTGCGTACTGGCCTATCATTGCACAGATCTAGGCCATCCAACGCGCAAACAAGCGTCACGTGCTGCGTAGTTGTGCGAATGAACTCAAACCAGTTCCTATGGCTAGGGAAATGGATAAAATAGGGAACTGTGTGAATAATGTCAGAATCCCAACCAATAGACCATTGGGATAAAAGGGCTTGTTTCAGTAGCGGGTCAGTGCGCCCATAACCCCCAAGGCAAACGCGCCTGTAACCCCCCCTAGGATCGATCGGGGATCTCACAGTGTAGCTCTACTGACACGCCCCCACACTGGGAGGCCCAGGACTGAGCACAGTGGCAACGGCCAACATGTGCATACACCGGGATTCGAACCCGAGACCGCTTTGATACCATGTCAGAATCCCAACCAATAGACCATTGGGATAAAAGGGCTTGTTTCAGTAGCGGGTCAGTGCGCCCATAACCCCCAAGGCAAACGCGCCTGTAACCCCCCCTAGGATCGATCGGGGATCTCACAGTGTAGCTATACTGACAAATAAATAGGGCTAAACAAAACATATAGGCGATAAAACGGTGACATGTTGCGTACTGGCCTATCATTGCACAGATTCATGCCACCAAACACGCAAACAAGCGTCATGTGCTGCATAGTTGTGCGAATGAATCAAACCAATTCCCATGGTTAGGGAAATGGATAAAATAGGGAATTGTGTGAAGAAATAGGGCTAAAAAAAACATACAGACGTTGAAACGGTGACGTGTTGCGCATAGGCCTATCATTGCATAGATTCATGTAGTCGGACGCACAAACGAGCGTCACGAGCTGTGTAGTTGGGCGAACGAGCTCAATCCAGTTCCTATGGATAGGGAATAGACTGAAGTAATTTATTGTGTGATTATAAAATGCTAAAAACACAATTATATACAAGAATGATGATACATCGACTACGACCAAGCATTTAATAATTTTAGAAAACGTGTCAAATAGTTAATAATATAATAAAAGTTTGCACAAAAAGCATTGGCAAGATATTGGCAATGTTCACACAAGAATTGGCAAGATATTTGTTTCACGAATATCTCAATATCCACCGAATTATAATACCAAGCGGGTTGACAAAAAAATGTAACATTACCAATTTAAGTTTAATAGCACTGTCTGTTACAGCTTCATGAAATAAGAAAAGCGCGATGAACAGTTTGCTACCACGAAACCATCCAGCTGGGCCTGCGGAGTTGACTTCAAGTGCCCAGAAACACGCGCACCACTTCGAAAAACACGCAACACCCTAACAACACTCCCACGAATCATGCGAGCAACATTCTCGCATGATTCCCAACCCCTGAAAGACGAGGAAGATGCAAACAAGATTCGCGCATGTCACAATCCCCTCCCCCCTGTTTTGCGATGGAAACAGCAGGCATGGCGGCTGAGCTGCTCTCACACCTCCCCTTGCCCGCCTCGCCGCTCTCCCTCGCCCTCACGGCCGTCGTGGCTCTGCTGCTGCTGCGCGTGCTGCTCGTGCTGCACGCCGTGGCGCGGCCGCACCGCAAGAGGCCTCCTGGCGACCACCTTTCCACGCTCATCGTGCTGGGCTCAGGTGCTCATCGTGCTGCGCTCAGGTGCTTATCGTGCTGGGCTCAGGGGCTTATCGTGCTGGGCTCAGGTGCTTATCGTGCTGGGCTCAGGTGCTTATCGTGCTGGGCTCAGGTGCTTATCGTGCTGGGCTCAGGTGCTTATCGTGCTGGGCTCAGGTGCTTATCGTGCTTGGCTCATGTTCTTATCGTGCTGGGCTCAGGTGCTTATCGTGCTTGGCTCAGGTTCTTATCGTGCTGGGCTCAGGTGCTTATCGTGCTTGGCTCAGGTTCTTATCGTGCTGGGCTCAGGTGCTCACATTCGCACTCCCCCTTGCTCCCCTCCCCCGTTCTCCACTACACATGCATCTTTTCCTCCCCCCCCACATCACCTTCCGCCCTCACGCTCGTTTTCCAACCTCACTGCAGCTTCAGCAGCTCGTGTTTCATGCAGCCGCGCAGCACCGTTGCTCCACACAATCCTTGCTGCGCTGCACCCTGTGCCCTTTCTTTCTCCCCACACACAGGCAACCCCTTTTCGCACGCCATACAAGTTTCACCCCCCCTGCTTCCCCCACACTCACTCATGCTCGCCTTGCTGCTGCGCACCCCCTACCTCCTGCACCTTCCTCCCCCCTGCATGCTTCCTCCGCCTGCGCCGCTACCCTCCACATACGCCTCTCCCTTTCCCCGTCCTCCCAGGGGGCCACACGGCGGAGATGCTGTGTGTGGTGGGCGCCCTGGACCACACACATACGTGTTCACCCTCCCTGCTCCTTCCACAATTACTCCCTTCCGCCCCGCGCCCCTGCCTTTCCTCCGCCCCCTCAGGCGGCCACACGGCGGAGATGATGTGTCTGGTGAGCGCCCTGGACAGTGGGCGCTACAGCCCGCGCTGCTACATCTGCTCCCATCAGCCTGCCAATTCGCGCCTCTCTTCCCCCTCCCCTCCCCCCCCTCCCCCAGCGGCCCACACAGCGGAGATGCTGTGTCTTGTGAGCGCCCTGGACCACACACATACGTGTTCACCCTCCCTGCTCCTTCCACACTCATTCCCTCCCCCCCCATGCCCCCTCCTTGTCTCCCCCTCTCCCAGGGGGCCACACGGCGGAGATGCTGTGTCTGGTGGGTGCGCTGGACCACGGGCGCTACAGCCCGCGCTGCTACATCGCTGCTGCCACCGACGCCATCAGCCTGCCCAAGGCACGCCAGCTAGAGCAAGCCCTCGCACAGGTGAGACCCACCACTCATCTTGCGCTTATCCTCTTTTTGCGCTTATCCTCATTCTGCACTTATCCTCATCCTGCGCTTACACCGTCCCCACTCCCATCCCCCCCCATTCCAGAAAGCAACCACTTCCCCCCTCGCCCCTGCCTCGGCCGCCCCCCCCCTTCGTACCTATCGGGGTATTGCAGTCGAGAGGTGGAGCACTTATACGTCACCTCCATGCTCATCCTGCGTTTTCCCCACTCCTGCTCGCACATCCCATGCATAGCAGGAAGCGCCTGCTCCCGCCTTGCCTGTCCCGCCCCCCTCGTACCTATCGGTGTATCGGAGTCGAGAGGTGGGGCAGTCATACCTCACCTCAGTGCTCACCACCATCGCCGCCACGCTGCACGCCATGCTGCTTGTGGCGCGTGTCAGACCCCAACTGGTGCGTCCATCCATGCCGCTTTCCTCTTGTCTCTTGTGCTGCTGTGGCTTCGTTTCTGTTACAGTCTGATTTCTCGTGGACCTGCCACTCAGTGGCATGCCATTCCATGGCATAGCATTCATCATAGCATTCCTGCGCTCTTCTCTCATCACAGCTCATCATTCTTGCCCATCTGTGCCCGTCCTTGTCCATCCGTCTCGCTCCATGCATATGCAGCTGCTCTGCAACGGGCCGGGCACCTGCCTGCCAATCTGCATCGCCGTTTTCACACTGCATGTGAGGTGCATGTGAGGGGCACGTGAGGGGCATGTGAGGGGCATGTGAGGGGCATGTGAGGTGCATGTGAGGTGCATGTGAGGTGCATGGGAGGTGCATGGGAGGTGCATGGGAGGTGCATGGGAGGTGCATGGGAGGTGCATGGGAGGTGCATGGGAGGTGCATGGGAGGTGCATGGGAGGTGCATGGGAGGTGCATGGGAGGTGCATGGGAGGTGCATGGGAGGTGCATGGGAGGTGCATGGGAGGTGCATGGGAGGTGCATGGGAGGTGCATGGGAGGTGCATGGGAGGTGCATGGGAGGTGCATGGGAGGTGCATGGGAGGTGCATGGGACCACATCGACTTTGGTGCCTCCTCCCTTTCTGCACCCACAGCCACCAGCTTCATCACCATACATCGGATGTCCCCTGCTCTTCCCCACTTCTCACACCTTCCCTGACTCCAATCTGACACCTGTCTCCTTCCCTTTGCGTTCCCTGCACAGCCAGTCCCAGAACACAGGAAAACAGAGCAAGGGGGTGCGGTTCATGCGACTCATCAGAACCCAATTCCGCAACCCCTTACCATCGTGGTGGCAGGTGCTGGGAGTGCAGAGCAGCAGCATCGTGTTCGTGGAGAGTGTGGCGCGCGTTGCAGTGCAGCACCTGTAGGCACTCACATGTGGTTTGTGTGACTCATCATTACCTGATCCGACAACCCTTCACCATCGTGTTCATGCAGGTGCTGGGAGTGCAGAGCAGCAGCATCGTGTTTGTGGAGAGTGTAGCACGAGTGGACCACCTGTCGCTCACAGGCCGCCTGCTGCACCGCCTGGGCATCGTGGACCGGTTCTTCGTGCAGTGGCCGCACCTCACCACCTCATGCAAGGGCACCCACTATGTGGGCCGCCTCATGTGATGCTCACTGGAAGCGAGCACCGCAGCTGACTCGGCTGTTGTTATGCTATTAAGAAATTCCATGTACAGTATAGTTGAAGTTTGGATGGGATCCATGAGGAACTCCCTGGCGGTTGTTGTCAAATGTTATGACTATGGTCTAGGCTATAGTGGGGTACTCACTAGAGAGAGCAACCCTGTTATGGTTGCATATTTGTGTCCAAACTCATCCTAGTCAATTCATTCCGCTGCTTCACACTTAAAAATGGTATCGAGTAGGTTAGGTCAGTGTCTACCGCCCATCACAGCTACTGTCGCTGTACTGCCCCACGCCACCACGCTGCCCTGCCCTGCAGGCTCTGCCCTGCCCCGCGTGAGCTTCGCTGCCCCGCACTTGCTGCACTGCGCGCTGCTGCCCCGCTCGCCGCTACCCCGCGAGCTGCTGCCCCGCGCGCCCCACTGCCCCGCGCGCTGTTGCTCCTCGCGCTGCTGCCCCGCTGCCCCGTGCGCTGCTGCCCCGCGCGCCCCGCTGCCCCGCGAGCTGCTGCCCCGCGCCCCGCTGCCCTGCGCGCTGCTGCCCCGCGCCCCGCTGCCCCGTGCGCCGCTGCCCCACGTGCTGCTGCTCCGTGCGTCGCTGCCCCGCGCACTGCTGCCCCGCGCGCCGCTGCCCTGCGCGCCCCGCTAACCCGCGCACCGCTGCCCTGCGAGCTGCTGCCCCGCGCCCCGCTGCCCTGCGAGCTGCTGCCCCGCGCCCCACTGCCCTGCGCGCTGCTGCACCGCGCCCCGCTGCCCCGTGCGCCGCTGCTCCACGTGCTGCTGCTCCGTGCGTCGCTGCCCGCGCCCTGCTGCCCCGCGTGCAAGTGTCTCTCCTCTGCAGTTCCTCCTTCACGGAGGCCAGTGTTGTCAAGATAAGAAACTGGAATGATGTGACTAGCAGGAACAAGAGTACAAGTATGAAACCCTAATCTGGTGTACCCCCTGTGGTGTGACCCACTACAGCCTAGAACTACACAAACATATGATGTTTGACACACCCCCATAGGCAAAGTGGGGGAGACCTAGGGGTCACAAGACCAGTCAAGGCAAAGCAAGGCAAACAAGCTCAGGGTGGATCTCGAGGATTCCACACAAATTCCGAGCACAAGCAAGTGGTCACAAGACCTGTTCACATAGAGTTTTATAATAGAGCAAGAGGTACAAAGATCACAACCTAGCAAGGGCAAACATACAGGTATATATATATAATGATCACAGTACAGGCAAAGTCAAGAAGTAAGCAAGTGAGGAACAGTCGGCACAAGGCCTAGAAGAGTGCAAAAACGCTGATGGTCAACAGGCGGAAGCGCCTTGGTGAACACATCAGCAGTGTTGGCCTCAGTGGCCACGTAACGCAGAAGAAGCTGACCACGCTGCTGTAGCTCTCGAGCTAGAAAGTAACGCAGAGCAATGTGCTTTGTTCTGTGCTCCAGTCTGTACTCCTGACACAAGGCTATGGTTGCCTTGTTGTCGACGTACAGCACTGGAGGAGAACGAGGCTGCTCTCCAAGGTCAGTCAGCAGGTAGGTGAGCCAGCGAAGCTCCTGGGCAGCCATGGCCGTGGCGTAGATCTCAGCCTCACAGCTGGAGCTGAGAACAGAAGAAGAACGAGTAGAACGCCAAGAGACAGAGCCAGAGCCAAGACTGAAGGTGTAACCCTGAGACGACCGCTGAGTAGCCTGGTCGTCTGCCCAAGAAGCGTCTGAGTGCCCAGTGAGAACAGGCCGGTCTCGCCCTCCAAGCACTAGCCCCATGCCCGACGTACTGCACAAGTAGCGCAACACCCTCTTAGCTGCATCCATGTGCTCCTTCCGGTGACGGCCGGGAGCGACATAGCGTGCTAAGATGCTGAGAGGGTATGCGAGGTCAGGTCGAGTGCAAGTCATCAGGTACATGAGGCAGCCCACAAGCTCTGGATACGGACCACTCGGCTCTACGGACTCATCCGAAGGCAGAGCTGAGAGCGAGTGTCCCGTAGGCAGAGGAGTGGACTGAGGCGAGGAGTACGTGAAGCCGAAGCGCTGAAGGACCTGCTGCACCATGTGTGACTGAGTCAAGGTGATGGTGCGCCGTGCTCTGTCCCGGGTGATCCGTAAGCCAAGATAGCTTGTCAGTTCACCCAGGTCTGTGCACGTGTGTCTCTTCTGCAGCTCGGACTTCACGTGAGCGAGACCAGCTGTGTCAGCAGTGGCAAAGACCAAGTCGTCGACGTACACGAGGATGTAGAACGGCGGCAGTGAGGTGTCGGTGCGTAGAAACAGCGACGGGTCAGCAGTAGAAGGAGCGAACCCAAGAGCCGCCAGTGTAGTCCTCAGTGTGTCGTGCCACTTACGCGGCGCCTGGCGGAGACCGTAGACTGGCCGCCGGAGGCTCCACTGGGTACCAGGAGGAAACGACCCAGTGAAGCCAGGAGGGCGGCGCAGCCAGATCTCCTCGTGCAGGCTGCCCTGCAAGAAGGCTGTGCTGAAGTCAAGAGAGTGGAGCTCGTAGTCACGCTGAGCGGCGACGTGCAGCAGAACCCGAAGAGTGGTCATCTTCGGGGTCGGGGAGAAGGTCTGGAAGAAGTCAACTCCCTCTCGCTGACTGAAGCCACGAGCCACGTAACGCGCCTTGAAGACAGGCGGAGAACCCGGCGGCCGCTTCACTCTGAAAATCCACATGCCACTGACGATGTTCGCCCCAGGTGGGGGAACCTCGTCGACGTAGGTGCGTGTGGACTTCTAGGAAGCCATCTCTGCGTCCATGGCTATCTGCCACTGAGAGGAGTAGGGACCGGCCATCGCCTCTGCGTAAGAGCGTGGGGTCGGGATGTCTGGTGCATCCGGGTCTCCCTCAGGGGCAACAAGCATGGACACGAGATGGGGCAAAGCAGCGGCAAGGCAACCAAACTCCTCCTGCCTGTCCTCCAGGACGTCAGTGCCAAGGGCACACTCACCCCCGACGGACGGAGGACAGACAGACTCAGACTCAGCGACAAGACTCGCAGCGTAGTCTAGACGACACGCAGCTGCAAAGTCGACAAGCTCAGCAACTAAGGCAGACGCAGCAGAGGACTCAAAGGAAGGGTCAGTGACAACCGTAGCTAGGAGACGTGTGATAGTAGGACTGGCAGCGCGCAGAGAGTCTGACTCCGGGTCAGCAAGAGCAGGAAGAGAGGACGCAGGAGGCGACGGGAGAGAGACACGCTGTGGAGAAGTGGACTGACGAAGCGCCATCTGGTGAGTGCCTGGGACAGCAGGAGGACGCTGACGCTGGACACGACGACCAGTGGTAGCAGCACGAACAGGCGACGCTCGACAAGACGCAGGTGACACAGGACGTGACGCAGGCTCACGTCGCTCAGCAAGACCTCCAGTCGGACCAGTGTAAGGAGTAGGCACAGGAAGAGGAGAGGCAGGCGGTAACTGTGGCTGTGACTGGACAGACGGCGGACACTCTAAGGCGAGAGGAGGACAAGGTGGAGGAGGCTGACCAAGAACCTGCTGAAGGAGTGGAACGAAGTACGGCCATGGGCGTGCAGCAACTCCCGAACCAGCAGAGACTCCAGCTGCAGGGTCCTCAGCACCAGCAGCACCTCCAACTCCCGGGTCCTCAATACTAGCAGCACCTCCAGCAGCACCAGCAGCACCGCCAGCAGAAGCAGCACCTCCAGCACCCGGGTCCTCAGCACCAGCAGCACCTCCAGCAGCACCAGCAGCACCGCCAGCAGCAGCAGCACCTCCAGCACCCGGGTCCACAGCACCAGCAGTACCTCCAGTAGCACCAGCAGCGTCAGGGTCCGCAGCACCAGGAGCAGCTCCTACGCCCGGGTCCGCAGCACCAGTAGAAGAGTCAACTCCGGGGACCCCAGCACCAGCAGCTCCACTCTGGAGACTGATGTGCCGAGCGTACCACTCCCGGAGCTGGGGGGAAGAGGGTGGCTCCCGCCGCGGCGGGGAAACACGAGGACCAACTCCAGCTGCACCACGAGCCCGAGAAGCACCCCGCCGGAGGCTGCAGTACCGCGAGTACCACTCACGCAGCTGCTGCGAAGAGGGAGCTCCTCCAGGCGCCTCACTGTCAGCTGCAGCACCCCCAGACCCAGCAACTCCAGGCTCAGCACCCCCAGACTCAGCAACTCCAGGCTCAGCACCCCCAGACTCAGCAACTCCAGGCTCAGCACCCCCAGACTCAGCACCCCCAGGCTCCGCACGCTCAGGCTCCGCACGCTCAGGCTCAGCACCCCTAGCAGGACGCGAGTCGACAGCTACCTCGGCAGGCTCAACGGGGTCTACCTGGGAGACACCTGAGGGAGCGGCACCCTGAGGGGGGAGGGGGTCTACCAGTGCAGCACCTGGCGCGAGGAAGAGAGGCGGGGGAGGGAGCAGGGCAGTGCGGTAGGGGAAGAGGCGGTAGAAGGGCACGGATTGGTCAAAAGTGACGTCCTGAGAGGGGAAGACGCGGTGCGAGGCGGGGTGGTAAAACTGCCAGCCAGACGCATCCGGGACAAAGCCAAGAAAGACACACGGAGCAGTGCGGGAGGAGAGCTTGTCCGCAGACGTGTCGCGAACAAAAGCTCGGGATCCCCAGACACGGAAGCGTGACGCATCGCCAACCTCCCCCGTCCACAGCAGTGTGGGCGAGGTCTCCGGAGCGGAGACACGGGGCCAGAGGTTGAGCTGATGCGCAGCGTACCGGACCGCAAACGGCCACAGAAAGTGGGGGGCAGCCGCGTGGACTAAGGAGGTACGAGCGACCTCCATGACCAAGCCAATGCGGCGCTCAGCAACCCCATTCTGCTGTGGAGAGGCCGGAAGCGTGAACGACTGGCGAATGCCGTGCTCGGCACAGTAGGCTGCCAAGAGGTCGGAGGAGAACTCACCACCTCTGTCAGAGTGCAAGCGCAGGACAGGAAACTCCGAGCAAAAACGCTCTCGCAGCTGAAGACGTGCTCTGCTGATCCAAGGGATCAGAACATCAGGGACTTCACCCTTGGTGCGCAAGGGG